CTACTATTATAAACTTTAACATAAAAATATAAAATTCAATTATAATATAAATTACATTCAATTATATTCAATTCGATTATAAATTACAAAATTTAATAGCACTTTGTTCTCACTTTGCGCTTCTATAAAATTTGAGACGAATAAACGAGAAATTTACCTATGAGCTTACGAAGACCTTATGAAGGTTAAGAGAACGGCATTTTCACGCTTGTTTTTCTCAAATCGCAACAAAGTGAAAAAGAAGAAAGCCTCGATGGATTCGTCTCTTTTTACGGGCTTTCTTTCCACTGTTCGCCGGACGATTGTGCTTTGATTCCGGCCCTATTACAGACCGTTTAGCTGCATTTGCCTTCTTGACAAAGCGACTCGAATCTCTTCTTCCACTGCCTCTTCTCCCTCATTCCGCTGGAATAAAGAATAGAGCGACGTACCTTTGTGAAACCTCCCCCTCGGAACAGTTACGCGGATAATCTACTCTCTCTCTCTCTCTCTCTCTCTCTCTCTCTCTCTCTCTCTCTCTCTCTCTCTCTTTCTCTCTTCCGACATATTGCGCCAAAGCCAAGAACGTGCCACGGTTCGACGAGCATTCGCTAAAGTTGAATCTTTCTACCTCGAACACCGTTTAGAGGCAAACTCGAACAAATTCCATCGTCAGTAACGTCTCTAGTCTTCCTTAGAGCATTTAAACATTAAAATGTCGTATGTGCTTGTATAGAAACAAAATCGAACGCACTCCATCGCTTCGTAGAGTGTTTAAACATTAAAATAGTGTGTTGCATTATTTAAAAAAACTTAATTTACGACTACGATAACTGCTAATCTCTAGAAACGTATCCCTACGAATTCGTTAGATAATACATTGTTCCACTGTTATATATTGTTATCACGTTATGTACAAGATGACCACTGAAAAACTGAAGAGTTTGAAAAAGCACGTATTTGTGAGCAGGAAGATGGTGGTCATTTGAGGGATGTTTATATTTCCAAATAAAATAATAAAAAATCAAAGAAACACGTATCTGTAAAAGTTATTTTTGTTTTATATCATTCCTGTATTTATGTATTTACCTACCACTATCCTTGTCACGTATTTACCTCCCCACTATTTTTATAATTATTCCTCAAATTAATTCCCGAGATACTTTCTATTTCTAGACATTTTATCATACAATATAACCTATCTACGTCTAGCTACTTAGAGAAAAGAATTCACCCCGCGGTTGATATCATCGATGAAGTCGTTGAAATCAGTATATATATACATATATATAGCGTGATCTAGATCTAGTTCTTTCTCACACATAATATTGAAAAAAAATCCATTAATTATATTTCCAAATAAAATAATAAAAAATCAAAACATCACGTATCTGTAAAAGTTATTTTTGTTTTATATCATCCTTGTATTTATGTATTTACCTACCACTATCAATCACGTATTTACTTCCCCACTATTTCTCTAATTATTCCACAAATTAATCACCGAGATACTTCCTGTTTCCAGCCATTTTATCGGCGTCGATCGTACAATATAACCTACCTGCGTCTGACTACTTAGAGAAAAGAATCCGCACCCAGCGCGCGGTTGATATCATCGATGAGGTCGTTGAAACCGGTATATATATATATAGGGTGATCTAGAGAGAGAGCGCGATCGAGAGATCCAATCTCCGTAATATTACGTCGGTTATGACGGATTCTTGGCGTAATTCGTGCGCTCGTTCGGCGTATAGCGTGGCGCGCGTGCAACTGGGGCGACCCTAAGCGAGGGGTGCGCTCGTCGCTGACGAGCGTGCAGGGATCCGGGCATGAGATAATTCAAAATGGAGTCAGGGAGTCAGGAAACGACGCAGCATCTGTCTGCGCCACGTTTCTCCACGCTGCTCGTACATACGTTCCGTTTAAGCCTCCTCCACTAAGAATTCTCCATTCAATCGTGGCACCATGCTTTCGGGGATGTTTTTTCTTCACCTAGCCTTCGCGCTCACTTCCGTCTCTCTCCCGGATTGTCCGCACTTTCACCGCTTTGTCTAGCCTTCTCTCTGCCTTCCCATCAGGCTCTTTGTACCTGATGCTTTCGAACCGCATCGGCGGATCTCGAGAGCAACGGATACGTGGCTTCCCTCCAGGGGTGAAAACGGTGTTTGGCAAATGTTAGTGGCTCGAGTAACAAGGCAGCCACGGTTCAAAAACTATTCGTGACAAGTTTATCGTGGGTAATTATTTATGAATTTGTCGCGCCTACGTTCGAAATGCATCAGAGTAATCGATGGAACAGGAAAGTTTTGCGAGTTTTAATCTCTGAGATATCGAAAAATTTAGAAAACTTTCGACCTACTAAGGAAGAAATATTTAAATAAATATGAATAATAATAATAATAGTAAAGAAGCTCTTACAATAAAAATCGAAAAAGACGTATTGAAAAGAGTATTTAAATACATGCTAGAGGCTATGAAAATAAGAGCATTGTGCAAGTACGAATAAAAGAGACCGATGTGATAAACTGACCAACTAACCGCAAAAGAATTCAAATACAGATATACAGAGTGTTTCGTAACTTGTGGGACCTACTTAGGGAGCTGATTGCACGCCTAAAAATAATGAAAAAAAGTCATATACATATATGTCCTATCTGTCTTCGTTTATGAGATATAATAATTAAATTTAAATTTTATGAACAGAGCAAACTCTAGTAACCTAGTTTTACCAGGGATGGTATATTCAATTTTCATAATAATCATAATTGGGATGAAGAAAACCCACACGTTATTGTGCATTCAAGACATCAACACCAGTTTAGTTTAAACGTATGGGCAGGAATAATTGATAAATTTTTAATTGGACCTTTTTTTCTTGATGGGAAACTAACAGGCAAAAAGTACGTTGATGTTTTGAGCACGCGTTTACACGAAATATTAGAGCAAGTTCCAGTCGATATTAGATTATTCGTATGCGGTTTATGCATGATGG